TTCATTTGTTCATTTAAATTAATAGCTGTCAAATGGGGTTTTGGTTGTTTAGTATCCTGATGATATGTTTTTTTACGTGGTCTTTCTGATTTTATTTCAAATCTTTGTTGATCCCGTAAGTTTATCTCCTCATATTTTGTTTATTAGCAGACCGTTTCCATAAAATTGTGCTGTCTTACGAAACGAATTTTCATTTGAACTGATGCTCTTTATGAACTCGCTACCAATTGTTTTACTGGAGACTTTTTTTTACTGGAGATATACTTTGTTTTACTGGAGATATACTTTCTTTTACTGGAGATTTTTTTTTTTACCTCATGACCTCAATTACTTATAAATGAAGCTTTTCAACTATTTCCACAAAGTGCTTGTTTATAACATTAATAAACTAGCAATATTTTGGAAAAAATGTAAAATGCTTCAGTATGTCCGCAAATTTTTGAGCTTATTAAGAATCAAAGATTTGTAAATCAATTAAAGACATAAATTCAATACACGGATTTATAGTCTCAGTTCCGTTCTACAAATTATTTCAAAATTTATAGTCTCAGTTCCGTTCTACAAATTATCTCAAAATTTAAAGTCTCAGTTCCGTTCTACAAATTATCTCAAAATTGTTTAGAAAAGTAATCATTTCTAGAATTTGAGAAAAAATTTGAGAAAATATGACATATTGATATTACTTTGATATAAAATGATTAATATAAAATTTTTTTAACGCTAAATATCTTTCCTAGCCATATTTATTACTAACTTAAGTTCGAAATATTTATCATACTAAACGATTTTGTGATAATTTACGGAACGGAACTGAGACTATAAACCCATGTATTATCAATATTCTTTCAAAACGTAACAGTTAACACGATAACCTTTTATTTGGTATAGTGAAATAAGTGCTGAAATATAAGTAAATTTCAATATTATTTAACCGTTCCGCATATTTTTAAACGCCACTGTAAGTAAATTATCTCCATAAAGCATCCAGCCTGAAGACAATAGTGTTTGCCGACGACACAAGCTTATTTTTATCGCATAACAACATTACTTTATTATTTGAAACTATGAACTTGTAACTTATAAAAAAATTATTAACTGGTTCAAAGTTAATAAACTATCCATTAATATTGTAAAAACTAACTGGACTCTATTTCACCCACTTTCAAAAAATTAATACCATATCCTAGCAAGCAAACGACGTCGTGTCAACGTCTAAGCAAGGTTGAAATTTTTAAAGTCGGAACGTTGGTTCCACGTTGGTTTACCGTTGATAAAGTAACGTTGAACAATACGACGTCGTTTCAACGTTATAGTGATGTAGAAAGTTTAACGTCGGAATTTTCCATGTTACTTCAACGTTGATTTGTAGTTGATAAATTAACGTTGATTATTCAACGTTAAAACGACGTGTCTTTAAAAAACTAAACAATGTTGTCTTAATAAACTAGCGTGTCTTTTAAATTTCTATTTGACATCGTGGCAGATAATTAAAATGCTTTTTAAATAAGAAATGGCTTATCGCCCAGCGAAATGTGTCTTTTTATCGTATTTTATTTAAAAGTATTAATATTTAAAAATTATTTATAACTTTATATAATATTTTACTTGAAATTTGTAAAAAGCTATTTACAAGTTATCTTAAGTATATTTTAGATTTTTTGATAACAATTAATCAAACTTTTTTGTTTGTTTATAATTTTTTATTTATTTTACTTTCAGAAGATTGAAATGCCTAAATGGATTTTTAATATTATTAGTAATTATTATTAAAAAAGAATCCGTGTTTTGTTATGTAACATTGTTTTACACAGCTTTTATTACAAACGTACATATTTTTTTTTTGATAACAAAGCTAAAAGTGCTAGTAAAAGAATCAATAAATCAGTAAAAAGAGAACTCAAATTTATATATATATATATATATATATATATATATATATATATATATATATATATATATATATATATATATATATATATATATATATATATATATATATATATATATATATATATATATATATATATATATATATATATATATATATATATATATATATATATATATATATATATATATATATATATATATATATATATATGATATGTATATATGATATATATACATATATATATATATATATATATATATATATATATATATATTATATATATATATATATATATATAAATATTAATATCAACATCTTTATTTCTAAACAAATTTTTACTTATTATTACTGGAAAACCTGTGATAAAAATATTTAAAAATTTTTTACAAATTTTTACTGCAAAACTTGTGATAAAAATATTCGTGTTAATCATCATTCACTTCAATGTAACCACTGTCTAAGTTCAATAAAGAACTATATTTCTTGTGATGTAGCTCTTTAAATAATAATGATTTTAGTTTTTAAAAAACACTTCCATGCTGCAACAGTATTTTTGCTTTTAGTTCTATATCTGATAATGAATTACGTCTTCAAACTTCAAATAACAATATATTACATCTCAATGATCTGCCTAATAACCTTTCCCTCTTTTTTTGATCCCGAGAATCTGATAGTTTTAATCAACTTAATAATTACTTTACTTATCAGCTAAATAACAACAACGGTTATGATTACGAGCATAGTTGAGAACCCAATCAATTGTAAATACATTCACATTGAAAAATTTAACTTTTCAAACATCAATTTTAATTTTTTTTTTATTTCATTTAAATATCGCTTCATTAGCTAAACATTTTGACGAATTAACCTCACTTTTGTGCAAATAATAAGTAATGATAAGCTTTTGTGCAAATAGTATGACACGGAAGTGATCGGACGTGCTTTTCTTGCGCTGTAAATTTTTAATAAAATTGTTTGAACTTAATTTTTAAAATTTTTGTTTATAATTGGTATTTAACTTTAAACATTCGTATTTAACTTGTTAATAAAATGGATAAAAATAAAAGTAGTGATAAAAAAGAAATTCAATTAAATACAGAAGCTTCAGAAATATCTGTGAAATTAGTTCGTGAAATATTCTCTGAGATGTTTAAGAAACAGCAAAAAGACATTCTCAAACTTATTAGTGGTAATTTAAAAATTACAAATGAAAAAACTGATGGACTGCTGAAAGAAATAGCAGAAATAAAAGAAACATGCAAAACTTTACAAATTGAAAATAATTTAAGAAAATCTGAAATGGTAAAAACAAATGACAGAGTCTCAATAATTGAACTCAGTCAAAAAGATATTGAACACAGTATCACTTTTACAAAAGATATCCAAGAGGAGAAAATCAATAAAATTGAAAAAAAAATTGTTACAAATGTAGCATTTAGTGTAGAAGAAAAAAATAAGCTGCGACAACTTGAAGATCGACTGAGAAAAAATAATTTGCGCCTTGAAGGAATAACGAAGAGCGAATCTGAAAGTTGGAATGAATCTGAAGAAAAGGTTTTAAGTATCTTTGAAAACAAACTAAATGTAAGTGGCGTGCTTATTGAAAGGGCACATAGAACCGGAAAAACTGGGCAAAGTAAACCTAGATCAATCGTGATAAAACTTCTGAACTACAAAGATAAAGTTAACATATTAAAAATACTTTAACTTCATCAGAAACGGTTTTTATATTTAAAAATACCAATATTTTTAAATATAAAAGTATTGGTAGACCCTTATGACATCATAAAAGATTCTTTACAAAATCTTTAAATCATCCACTAAACAAGGTTCTTTCCCAGACTCTTTGAAAATAGAAAAAATAACCCTATTTTTAAGACAGGAGGCCCGACCAATATAAAAAATTACAGACCTATTTCTGTTCTTCCAGTTTTTTCAAAAATATTAGAAAGAATAATGTATAACAGAGTGTTCACATACCTAATTACCAATAAACTTCTTTATGAAAATCAGTTTGGTTTAAAAATAACTCAACCAAACATGCTATTCTTCAATTAACACGTTGTATTAAAGAATTTTTTAAAAATCAAAAATTTACACTTGGTGCTTTCATTGACCTGTCAAAAGCTTTTGATACGGTCGATCATAATATTTTGCTTGAAAAACTTGAATGTTATGGCATAACAGGTAAAACTTTAAGTCGGTTCAAAAGGTTTTTTTTCTACAACCGAAAGCAACTTGTTTTTAATAAAGATCCCCAACCTCAAACATTAATGAACATAACATGTGGTGCCCCACAAGGATCCATACTTGGACCACTTTTTTTCGTTATATATATAAATGATCATATAAAGTATTCAATTTAAAGACGATAATTTTTGCAGACGACACAAACTTGTTTCAGTCACATGAAAATATAAACATACTTTTTAATAATATGAACAGAGAACTTAAAAAAATTTCAACTCCAAAATAAATATATACTTAATAATACCATTTTAGATAAACCTTTTTGCAATAATAAACAAGCTCAATTTTGCATATCTTATCGTGGACCTTTTCCCTGGAATGAAATAGTACGGCCTAATTTTGTTTTTTCATCTAAATTGACCTATTCTTTTTTTAAACATTCTATTAAAAAAAACATTTTTTCAACAAAAAATATTCTTGATTTTTTAGAAAAAAATATTTTCAATTGCTATACTGAATATTGATTTGTTATGTTTTTATTTTAAGTTTCACTTCTGAAGTATGTAGAGAATCAAATTTATGATATATTTAGTGATTATATATTCTCAGTATATATTTATTTTATATAGTATATAGATGTTTTTATTGTAGAAGAAAATAGAATTTTGTTAAGGGCTTCGTGATAAGGTCATTACGATCTTCTTGAAGTCCTGCCCGTATATTATAAATAACTTTCAGCTATTGTAACAAAAACATATATGGCCAAATAATTGCATACATTTTAAGATACAAATACCTGTAACTTGTAAGTTAGAAATAAATAATAAGAAAATAGCGAAAATCTAGTGTTATTGGTTGGTATACTTTTCACTTCTCAATAGTAAAACAATTGCATAAGGAGAATAATGGAAATGGAAAATAAATAATTATATATAACTTTTATAATTTTATACAAAATTATTAATGATTAATTAAAGATAAAACTGTCTAATGTTTTCGCTGCTTTTTCCACTTGTACGTAGGTTTTTTCTTATCAAATTTGCGTTTAGACACTGTACCTTTACCCATTAACTGGCGTTGGAGAGCTAATGCTTCCCTTGTTTGAACAAGTTTATCTTCACGTTGAATTCTTTTCTCTAATGCTGCATAAGAAAGCTGAGTTTGCTTTTCAGACTGCGAATTCACAAATTGCGAAGACGGATCCATGAGCATCTGTCTAGTTGGAATGTTGTGTTTTCGAGATAAAAGTTCAGGAAACGTATCAAATTTCTCTGCAGCATTAAACTCATTGCATTCTTTTTTAGTGTCAACAAAAAAAATATGGTTTCTCTCTTGAGTGTCTGCCATGTCGATCATGTGTAAATCGCTTTGCATTTTTTTAACTTTATTTGCTTCAACGTTGCACTTCATATTTAAATAATTTAAATCTTGAGTTTTCAACAACTTAATCTGTTCGGAAGTATACTTTTTTACATTTTGAGGAAGCACGTGTACACCTTCCTTTGTTTTCTGATTGATCATTTGAAAATAAAATTCGTCAGGATTTTTTTCAAGTGCCTTTTGTTTTAATTTTTTCAGAGTATTTTCTTTCTGGTGGAAATTTTTTGCTCTGAGAAGATAATCTTTTTTCTTTTCTAGTAAACCAAGATGTTTTCTTCCAGAAAGTTGAGATCTTTCACGATGAGTTTTCTGACCACTCTTCATTGCTGCTTTTAAGGACGCCATTTTTACTACTAAAATAAATTACAACATATATATATAATTATATATATATATATATATATATATATATATATATATATATATATATATATATAATTAAACTTCAATATATAATATATATATATATATATATATATATATATATATATATATATATATATATATATATATATATATATATATATATATATATATATATATCAGCCCTCAGAATCAGGGTCGGCATTCGGCAATGCCAATCTAACTACTGACCTCAAACAAACAAAGTGTTTGAGTTTGGCATAATTTAACCCAACTCGTTTTTTTGTTTTATGGTAACCCCTTTGTGTTTTTGATGAACTGATGCTGATCTCTAACAGTTTGAGGTTGGCAAACCTCAAATTACGAGAGTTGTGTGTGTGTGTGTGTATATATATATACATATATATATATATATATATATATATATATATATATATATATATATATATATATATATATATATATATATATATATATATATATATATATACATACCATACTGCTTTTCAAAGTATGTGTGTGTGTGTTTGTGAACATGCAGGTAGATACATCAACTGACTTACATAGTAAATGTACATACTTTGATGATGACTGATGGTTTTGGTTTGGGAAGGCAACCTATCCATTTAAAGAATAATCATTTTTAAGTTTTTAAACTTTTTCTGGTTTAGTTTATTAGCTTTTAAGTTAACCATAGGGCCTTCACTAGGGTAAATCAAGCATATATATATATATATATATATATATATATATATATATATATATATATATATATATATATATATATATATATATATATATATATATATATATATATATATATGTGTGTGTGTGTGTGTGTGTGTGTGTGTGTGTGTGTGTGTGTGTGTATGTGTGTGTGTGTATATATATATGCGTGTGTGTGTTTTATTTGTGTTAATAAGCTATTAATATCAGACTAATAATTTTAAAAGTACATGATCTGGAGTTAATCCACTGTATTAGGGTGGTAACCCTCCTATTTATAAGATCATTTTCAATAAAATGGACCCTTGGTAGATCTACCTGGCCATTATTTGATGGAAAATTGACTAATAAAACAAAAAATCTATAAAATCGGCTTCTGATAGCTGCAAAAACAGTTGTTGGCTTGCCAAGTAGGGTCACTACATTTGAAGAAACAGTTAGATTAAAAGACAATGTAATAAATGATTTGAATAAATAACAAGTACTCCACTAACCAATATTCTACACTCTGCAGATATCTGGCATGGAATTCTTTATTCCCTTTCAACAATTCCAGGTCAAGCCTCACTCTTCTCCATGGTTTTCCTCACATTGTGCTGCTGCAATTGCCAATTGAAACCATTACTTCCATATCTATCAGCAAAGCAATTCTCCAGAAAACAGACATCTGTTTATTACTGAGAATAGCGGGCTTTGACATTAAACAAAACTTTCTTACACTGGTTCCTAACCAGTGTAAAAAAGTTTTGTCTAACGTCAAAGCCCGCTATTCTCAGGTCATGAAATCTCATATTTCATCACAAAAAAAGGCTCTTGTGACTTCTAAAGAATTTTTAATAGTATCAATAATAAGGGCAAGTCTGTAATTTCCCCTCTTTTGTAAAGTTCAGACTTAGTCACCTCACCTAAAGACAAAGCTGAATTGTTTGCTAAGAATTTTTCATCAATATCATCTCTTGATTCCACTAGTTGCGTTCTACCTGATATAGCCGTCAAACAGGTTGATCCATTGCTTGACATTTGTATCACTTCAGCCTCTGTATCTAAAGTGATTTCCTGCTTAGACTCTTCTACAGCTTGTGGCCTGGACAACATACCTGCTATAGTCTTGCAGAAGTGTTTTCCAGAGCTGTCATCTATCCTTTCAAAACTATTCAACAAGTGCTTATTGGATTCTTGTTTTCCAGCATGCTGGAAAGCGACATCTGTTATCCTATTTTCAAAAATTCTGAAAAGCTATCTGACTCATCTAACTACTGCCCCATTAGTCTTCTTCCTATCATAAGTAAGGTTTTGAGTCTTAAATTAACAAACAATTAATCTCTCATCTTGAATCTAATAACTTACTTTCTGATCGTTAATATGGATTACAATCTTCTCGTTCTACAGCTGATTTGCTAACAGTAATAACCCATAGGTTTTATCCTGCATTAGATAAATGTGGAGAAGTTAAACCCATCGCCCTTGACATTTCTAAAGCGTGTGATAAAGTTTGACATGCTGGTCTTCTCCATAAGCTTTCTTCTTACAGTGTATCAGGTAACACCTTTAAGATTATTGAGTTCTTCTTTTCCAATCGTAGTATAAAAGTTGTCCTCAATGGACAGCACTCTTCTTCTTATTCTGTAACCTCAGGGGTTTCTCAAGGTTCAATCCTTGGCCGTATAATCTTAATTTACATTAACAATCTTCCAGATATTCTCACATCTAAGGTGGCATTGTTCGCTGATGATATTACTATTTATTCTTGTCATGATAAGAAGCTAACTCTCTCTGATTGCTTGGAGGGGGCATTTGAGCTTGAAAAAGATCTTACTTCTGCTACAGCATGGGGCTCACAGTGGCTGGTGAACTTTAATTCAGATAAAACTCAATTTTTTTCAGCCAATTGTAATTGCAATAATTCAGACCTTCCTATATTTATAAACAGTAATGTACTTAATGAGTCATTTGCCCTTCATCTTCTAGGATTGACTCTTATTCTGATCTTTCTTGGAAACCATATATCAAATCCATTGCAAAATTAGCATCTGCTAAAGTTGCATCTCTTTATCGAACTCGACACTTTCTTACTCTGGATTCTATCCTCTATCTCTATAAATCATAAATCCGGCCTTGTATGTAACACTGTTGCCATATCTGGGGCAGATCTTCTAATAATGCCCTTTCTAATTTAGAGAAGGTGCAAAGGCCCATTGTAAACATAGTTGGACCTGCTTTTGCAGCCAACCTTCAACTATTATCACATTGTCGCAATGTTGCTTCTCTTTCTCTTTTTTACAAATACTATAATGGGCACTGCTCTAAAATGCTAGTGTCTTTTGTGCCATCTACTAAAATTTATTCTCGTGTTACTCGTCATTCAATTAAGTCTCATACTTTTTCTGTGATTGTTCCTAAGTGTTCCAAAAACTCTTATTCCTCTAGTTTTTTCCCTCGAACATCAGTTCTTTGGAATTCGCGTCCTTCATCTTGTTTTCCTGATTCATATAATTTGCATTCTTTTAAGTCATCTATCAATCGTTATCTTGCTCTACAATCTTTATCTTTTCTTTTCCAGTAACTTCCAACAGTAATTAGTGGTTGCTTGCAGCTTTGTTGGAAACAAGGATGTTAAAAAAAAAAAAATATCTGGTCAAGTTACTTAAAACCTGGAAAAGACCATAAAGAGAATGATGGAGCACTAATTGCTGCTATCCAGAAAGATAAAAAAGTGAAAACAAAGTAGAAAACAATATTTTAATCAGGGGAGTACCAGAAAAACACAGTGGAAAGTGATTCAGACACCTACATAGTTAATCAAATTCTAAATGCATTTAAGTTAAAAAGAGAAGATTTTAAGAAATAAGGTTAAAAAAAAGAAAGACAATGATGAACAGTAATGGTATAAAACCAGAAATTAAAGTCACAACATTACCAGAAAATCAATTGAATGAATTCTGAGATTAACTTGATAAAAGTCCTCCTCCTCCAATAATACTGCTAGAATACAAGGATCATGCCACACAATGAACAACTATCCTTAATACTGAAGAAATGAAACATTTTGAAGCTTTAAAAAACATATAAATAATACCAGACCAAACTGAAAATGAAAGATTAACTGAAACTAAACCTAAAATTGAATAAAACAATAGAAACAATGACCTTCCAAATGAAGTAGAAGGACCGAATAAGAGACAAAGTATGAAAAGAAAGCTTATTGGAGCATATACATTGGCACGCTCAGATGAGTTCAAACAAAAAGAAAGTCAGTAACTCCAAGGACATGCGTAAAAATTTTACTTGTTTGAAAAAAAATGAAGAAAAAGAAAAGTTGTGTGTCTTCTTGAAAGTGTTTTTATTTGAATGAAAGATTTATATGCAAATATAGTTTGAACATCAAAATATTTAGAACATTAAAAAATATTTTTTAACTAGGGTTGAGTTTATCGTAAGATAATTACACATCATATTTTAATAAGAGAAAAACTATCAGTGGTGAAGGAGCATTAATTTATGTGCGTGAAGATTTCCTCACAAGATTGATCCTTTCTACTTAAACAGTGAGCAAATTTGGTGCAAGGCCATCATTAGTTTTAATAGTATACTAGTTGATTGTATATACAGATACCATAATGCTTCATATGACTTAAACAAAATATTTAATGACTCAATTAGAGAAGCAGATAAATTGACGGAAAAAATTGAACTAACTTTTTTTTTTTTGTTTTAATTCACCTCCTCAAGGCCGAGAAGGCCACTACAGACGAGGAGGCTACTTATTTGTGGTTATAACCCTCTCTCAACTCTATAACCCCAAAACACGAACCTTGACGAACAAGGCCGCTGCGCAGAGAAACGAGTTGAGCGCGGTACTACCAGGGACGTGGTGGGGATCGAACTCGGAACCACTCATTTATGAAGCGAGCGCTCTACACCACTACCGCATGTATTAATAATGGGTGATCTAAACTACCCAGATACCTTTTTAAGATGATACAAGAGGTGTGTGTCATGGTAAAGGAAGATATTCAAGCATAGAATTTTTAGAAACTATTAATGACTGCTTCTTATTGCAAGTAGTTAAAAACCAACTTTCAAGCATAACAAGCATTTCAAGATATAATTTTAATTGATGATCCTGATTGTGTTTATGCAGTAGAAACAGGCCCCATTTATATAATAAATTAGTTGAGAAGTTTGTGTCAGTGAAATCTCTCTTCAACCTCAACTTATCAGTTCCCTGATGAATAAATAAAGACATCAAAAAAGTTTCAAGATATATTTTTGTTTTAAAAAGCTTTAAGATTATTTTCAAATTAAAAATTATTATTAAAAAGATGATTGCAGCATTTAAACTAAATATATATTTTTAAATATATCTCCATAAGGCCATGAAGGCCACTACAGTCAAGGCTTTAGTTGAGGTTACAATCCTTTCTCAACTCTTTAACTCTGAAACACAAATAAAAGGTAAGCTTTAAACTGATTTCAATAAACAATGCAAATTAGTTAAGAAATTAGTAAATAAGGCAATTTTCAATATGAAAAAGTATTTCAATGAGAGCAAAAGAATATCGTAAAATTTTTTATTGTTACATCAACAAACAAACAAAAAAAACTTACATAAAGGCAATATTTAAAAAAAAGGAAACAAGTCACAGACAAAAAAAGATATCACTCACTGTTTAAACCAACAGTTGCATAAACCATTTTTCCCGCATCTTCAAAAAAGAATGTAAACTCGAACAAATAAACTACAGACCAATCTTGTTGATTTCAATTACAAGTAAGATCATGGAGAGGTTAGTGAGAGATTACATGACTCAGCACCTTACTAAACTCAAACTACTTTCTATTCACCAGCATGGATTTGTAAGTAGTAAATCTTGTGCCACAAACCTCTTAGAGGTATAAGATATAATTAAAGAAGCACTAAACTATAATTTTATGACTGTCCTATTCTTATTGAACTTTTCCAAAGCTTTTGACAAAGTTAGCCAGGACATACTAAACATAAAACTTGATGGGTAGGGGTTTGATGTAAAATTAATTGTTTCAATTTCCGATTTTTCAAAAAATAGATGACAACCAGTAGCCTTAGATGGTGTGCATTCTAATTGGGCAAAGGTGGGTACCACAAGGATCAGTTCTTGGTCCACTATCATCTTTGAAATACATAATGATATGCCAAAAATAGTCAAAATTTTTTGTAAGCTTTTAAAAAATCATAGCCAGCTCATTGTATGATTAAAAACAATATGGATATCAAATCATTCCAAATAGACCTTGATGCCCTCATATACTGGTCCAAGATATGGAAGATATCCTTCAATATTGAGAAATGTTAAACTTAAAAATATATTAAATTTGGCAAAAAACTAAGTGAAAATCTGGAAAACTGCTACTTTACTATGAAAGACAATATTAGAGCTATTTTTATGCTGAAAACAACAAAAACTGAGCGAAACTATGGTGTACTTTTTAACAATAAATTAAAATAGAACTACCACATTAGACATGTAACAAATAAAGCAAATATAGTCCTAGCCATACTTAAGAGAACAATCAAATCTTGGGCAGGGTCTATTTTTGTTAAATTTGTTACACTATTGTTTGATCTCATTTGGAATACTGCACTTCTGTTAAGAATTCTGTTTTAAAAAAAGACATAAAAGCCCTAGAAGCCATCAAAAATAAACAACCAAACTTTGTGCCAGCAATAAGAAACTTAGATTACAAAGCCCATCTAAAACCAAAACAACAACAAAGGAAAAGAAGGGATTTGATACAATATTTTAAAGGCGTCAAGACAAAGTTATAATATATATATATATATATATATATATATATATATATATATATATATATATATATATATATATATATATATATATATATATATATTTCTGTTATATGTGTGTTGGAAAGCTGAAAATTTGTACCTTTACATATTTTGGGCCAACGAATCCAATGAAACAACTTAAAATATTTATAAACAAGCATAACACCTAAAATTTGAACGTTTACCACAATTTTACTGGGGCGAGTCCAATCACAAAAATGCTGATGTAGCTCGATTTTTTTTCTTTTTTTTTTTTTATAGAAGTTGTCCTGAATAGTTAAGCTATAGTTACATTTTAGAAAAGACCACTCTCCAATTCTTTTAAAGAATTGGAGAGTGGTCTTTTCTAAAACAGAAATAAAAATATGGTCAAATCTACTTAAATTTATTGCTTAAAAAACCGGTATTATGACAAATTAAACAAGAAAAAAAAAGTGGTAATTTAACAGTTTTGCAATTAAAACAGTTTAGGCTACATCAAACTGTTCTTTTAGTTGTTATTGACTAGCTGTTTCTGTTTTCTTTGTAATTTTTTAGAATCTGATTTTGAAAAAGTTTAGTTTCAAAGGGGGAGAATTATATAAATGCAGATGTATATTGCAAGTTTAGTTTTTTTTCAGAAGTTGTATTAAATAGTTTAGTTGGAGTTATTACAAAGAATCAGATTGCGGTCTTAAATCAGAAGTAAAAACATCTTCAAATATACTTAAATTTATTATTTATAAAACATTAGTTTCATATTTATCAAACTTCATTTAATAAATTTAAAAAACAAAGACTCCAAAACAAAAAGAGCACTCGGAAAGAAGTACAAGAAACAAAAGTAATATACAAAATTTAAAAATTAAAAACTCAAAAAAATTAAAATTTATCAGTTATTGTGTTATAATCATTCACATCAATGTTATATGTTCGCCCTGATTTTGTTGTTGGGACTTTGATTACTGCAATCAAATTCGACAATGGTACCCAACAGATATCATCTCTCTGTGGACAAATAAAGTTTTGAGAAGGGCCGTGAGAGTGCATAAACTTAATTTGAATATCGTTTATAATAGTATCTATCTCTGTAACCATGCCTATCCACCAAAAGGAATCTTACTTGCATGCAACAAAATCATTTAGATTTGGTACAATAACAACATCAGACATTACTGCTTTTGACAGTATAAATCTGTCACCACATTGATGTTTGCTTGTTATTTTAAAACTAATTTCAAATTTTGAAATAGGTATGTAATGATGATAACTTCTGGTACCTGGAACAGTTTTTCCTGTTTCAAATCGCTCTTTTAGTTGCTGTCTCCTTGCATTAACTGTTTCTTTGGAAATTTTATAAAATATGATTGTGTTTATATTGGTGATGCAAAACTCAAGCATATTATCAACTGTTAATATTTGGTTTCCCAATGCCCTTTGCAAACTTGCTCTTGCTGTTATTCTTTTAACGATACCACCTATGCCATCACAAGTGGATTTTCCATGGCTGGTTGCAAAAAAATACCCATTCAGCTGTAATCTCAAAATCTTCCTTATGGTGGCATAGATTTATAAAGTTTTTATAGTTTTCATAATGAGAAGAACATCCAGAAAAATAATAAATTTTATTGATACCAACTAAATATTCCTTAATGTACTCTACAATTTTCTTTTGAAATTTTTTTTTTTTTTTTTTTTTTTTATTTGCATTCACTCCCAACAAGGCTGCAAGCAACCACTATTAAGTTGGGAGTTACTGAAAAAAAAAGAACAGAGTTATAGAGCAAGGAAACGGTTGACAGAACACTTGAAAAGTTGAAGGTTGTATGAGTCAGGAAAACATGAAGATGGGAGAGAGTTCCAAAGGATTGAAGTGCGGGGAAAAAAACTAGATGAATAAAAGTTTTTAGAGCATGCAGGGACAGATACAGTAAACGAATGAGACTTAGCTGAATGACAAGTAAAACGAGAATGAATTTTAGTTGATGGAACTAGAGATGATAACTCCTTTGAGCAGTGACCATGATAGTATCTGTAGAAAAGAAAAAGAGATGCAACTTTACGACAATGGGAAAGAGGTTCAAGCTTAGCAGATAGTCCAGGTCCAACAACATTTACAATGCGTTTTTGGACCTTGTCAAAAAGAGAAAGTGAATCGTTAGAAGAACCAGCCCAAATATGACAACAGTATTCCATACAGGGACGAATAAGAGATTTGTAGAGGTAGAGAATGGAATCAGAAGTAAAGAAATGGCGAGTACGATAAAGAGAAGCAACCTTAGCAGAAGCTAATTTAGCAATCGATTGTATATATGGTTTCCATGAACGGTCAGTAGTAAGCGATAATCCAAGAAGACGTAAAGAGGAGGACTCAGTAAGAGGATTGCCATTCATTAATATAGGAATGTTGACCATATTACAGTAGTTGTTTGCAGTAAGCAACTGGGTTTTTTTAGAGTTGAAATTCACAAGCCACTGTGAACCCCAATCTATTACTGAAGTGAGATCGGATTCGAGATCAGCTGCTTGTTCTAGGCGATCGAAAAAAGAGGACTTTTTGTCAAGACAGGAGTATAAAGTTGAGTCATCAGCAAAAAGAGCTACTTTAGATGAAAGGTTGTCAGGAAGATCATTTATGTAGATAAGAAACAAAACAGGGCCCAGGATGGAACCTTGGGGAACCCCAGAAGTTAATGGAAATAAAGAAGAGTGTTGGCCTTCAAGGATGACTTTAATAAACCGGTTAGAAAGAAATGATTTGATAATCTCAAAAACTTTCCCAGAAACACCATATGAAGCAAGCTTATAGAGAAGACCAGCATGCCAAACTTTGTCAAAAGCTTTAGATATGTCAAGAGCAACCGCCCTAGCCTCACCGCCTCCATCTTATGCACGATAAAATCTTTCAGTTACAGCAGTTAGCAAGTCGTAGAGCGAGAGGATCGAAAACCGTATTGATTGTCTGACAGCAGTTTATTTGACTCAAGATGAGATGTGAGGAATTTGTTGATCAAAGACTCAAAGACCTTGCTAATAACAGAAAGAAGACTGATCGGACGATAATTGGAGGGGTCAGAATTTTCTCCAGAGTTTTTGAATATTGGAACCACAGATGCCATTTTCCAACAAGCAGGAAAACAAGACTCAGTCAAACACTTGTTAAATAGTTTAGAGAGAATTGAAGAAAGTTCTGGAGAACAATTCTGCAAGACTGTGACAGGAATGTTGTCTGGACCACAAGCTGTAGACAAGTTTAATTGAGATATTTGAATGTCTAACAATGAGTCAACCTGTTTGACTGGAACGGAAGGAAGAGAATGTCCATAAGATTCAAGAGTGGAATTAGAAGAAAAGTTCAAATTCATACACAAAGCATGTATCATGATCATTGTCATCACTTAAAAAACAGAATGACTTATGCTGAATATTTGTTTTAGAAAATTCCTTAAAATATATAACAACAGGATGAAGTGTACATTGTTGTTTATTCCAATGATAACTTTGTATTTCATCCTGTATAACAAATTGATAGTTCTCTGCAAAATCTGCCTGTATAATACATTCATTGTAACCTAAATTATTTTTTAGTTCTTTCAAATAGCGAGTTTAGCATTTAACAATATCTGAATGTGAAGTTAGATGATTAATGTGAGAAACAACTAGTTCTTTATATTCAAATAAGTTAACTGATTGAGTAATAAATTGTGATCTATCAGTACTTTGCCATTGGTTGAATTGAATTTCTTCTTCTTCATCAATCTCAATTAATTCCTCATCTAAAAATGCCTTGGACATTTGGCACATTTATGAACCATGCATTCATTATTGCTTGTATCACATACTAATTTTGACATTAAATCTTTGTATGTAACATTCCATTGGACAGCATTTACAAGCAATATTG